CTTTAAAATCTTTTGGGAAGATATCCAGCAGGGGAATAGCTGGGTCAAATGGGACCTCTAATCCTAGTTCTTTGAGGAATTTCCACACTGATTTCTATAGTGGTTGCACCAATCTACACTCCTACCAACAGGAGGTTTCCTTTCTCCCCACAACCCCGCCAGCATTTGTTGTTGGTTGATTTCTTGATAGCAGCCATTCTTACTGGGGTGAGGTGGAATCTCAGTGCTGTTTTCATCTGCATCTCTTGAATGACCAGCTATGTTGAACATTTTTTCATCTGTTTCTTTGCTATTTCTACTTCTTCATCTGAGAAATCTTTGGCAAGTTAAGACCCAGTTTTTCCAGCACCATTTATTAAAGAGGCTATCTTTCCTGCAGTGAGGGTGTTTGGCTCCTTTGTCAAAGATGAGGTGGCTGAGTGTAGTTTCTGTGTCTTCTAATCTGTTCCATTGGTCCTTGGGTCTGTTCCTTTGCCAGTACCATGTTGTTTTTAATCACAGTGGCTTTGTAATACAGTTTCAAGTTGGGGATTGTGATACCCCCTGCCTTGTCTTTGTTGCCTAGAATTGCTTTTGCTATTCTGGCAGTGAATGTAAATTTTTTAAAAAATGTTTTACAGTAGAAAGCATTGCTATTAATCACCCTCAAAACACTTCCCTCTCACTTTCAAAGACTTTTGTGACTGTCTTCACTTCACTGTCATGGCTGTCTTGATATCCTGAATCAATTAAAAATGTTTACCTTTCGTGGTCAATTGGATTTGGAGGAAGAGGCAGAAGTGGCACAGTGCCACACCTGGTGAACAAGGTGGATGAGGACACATGGTAATGTTTTTACCAGCTGCCTTTCCACTGGATGGCACTCAGCAGCAGCACTCTATAATATATTTTATGCCACCTTGTATTAACATACTGAAGAGCACTTCCAGATTGCTCCTGAAAATGGCAAGAATGATGGGATAAGTGTGTGTAAAATGAGGAGCAGTATTTTGATGGCGATTAGTGGCAACTGATGTCTTTTACTGTAATAAACTTAAAAAATGTACACACACACTTCTCAATCACCACTTGTATATCCTAAGATCTCTACCAAAAAACCCTCAGAACTGATAAACAAGTTCAGTAAATTTATAGAACATAAAATCAACAAACAAGAGATGATAACAGGGGTCAGGGATTTAGCTCAGTGGTTCCGCCGCCTGCCTCCCAAGCCCAAGGTCCTGAGTTTGATCCCTGGTACCAAAAAAAAAAAAAGAGTTGATGAGATTTTTTTTTTTTTTTTTGCTTTTCACAACTTTATTTCAACATAACTATGCTTACGGAAATACACTCATATTGATTAAGAGAATGCAATTTAACTTATCCTACACAATTTCAACCAAAAAGTTGGTACATGGTTTAAGATTTTAAAAAGGATTTGCAATCTGGTTTATTTTTATCTATTACAAATGTATAAAAGATCCATCAAATGCTCCTAAAGAAGGCAGCAAAAACCTTGAGAAATATACCTTTGGTTTGCCTCAGAAAAGTAACAAGTATTGCACTGTAAAGTTTATAAAATTGGTGCAACAAAACATTGTTGTAATGTTACAATGCCAGTTTACAAAGTTTAGTAACTAATGGATGTAGGAGGGC